CTCACCTAGCATCCCTGAACACGGAGGGTAAAAAATTACGTACCTACAGTACCTTCAAAAAAGATTTTAAAAGAGAAATATACACACAGTTAATCCACAAACCCAAATCTACATTCCTTTGCAAATTCAGGATAAGTGCCCACAATTTGGCAATTGAAAAGGGGAGACACATGAATCCTAAAATACCCATAGAGAAAAGGCTATGCACGGTGTGCAACATGGGGTCAGTTGAAGATGAGTTCCATTTTATGATGATATGCCCCTCTTATGCTCCACTAAGAGCCATATTCCTTAACCAGGTTAAAGATATACTGGGCAGTGCAGCCCCTGAGTCCATCAGTGACCTTTTTATTACCGTACTGCAATGTAATGATTTTGATATTGCAAAATGCACAACTAATTTTCTTTATGATTGTTTTAAAGCTAGGGATATGAAAATTGCATCCATGCTGAATAAAACCTAGATTAACTGACGATGCAGTTTTCATATCCCCCTAAATAATAGTTAGTTTAATATAAGGTTTAGTGTAGCCTATTCTAGTTGAATCATTTTTTTTTAATTATCCCTATATTGATCTTTATTGAGTAGTACATGTACTTTCCCTGCTTTAGTCTAGACATTATATAATGTATATCAAACTGTATATGGTAATCACTCTGCGGATTACTTCTTGTATTTGTATTTGATCATGCCCGGATGTAGGGCGATTGTCAATAAACTTCTGATTCTGACTATTATCATCATTATTATTGTTGCTATTATATCTCTGTACATTTTCACCAGCTCAGTCTGGTGCAGAAAGTATGAATAAAGCATATATATATATATATATATATATATAGATATATATCAACCAACGTAGCTGGTCACTCTGTTATTGTCAAACGCTAAAAATACGATGATTTAAATGATTTTTGTAGATATCGGGATCTGCGAGTCTCCCAGAGTTCCCAGTCACGCCTATCCATTGGGGTTTCGGCATGCAGCTTACTGGTCTGTTTGCCTGCCATATTTGCAGGCAAATAGCAGAGTGTAAAACGAATATTTGCATATTTGCACATGTACATGTAGACCTGATACGGGTTACGCTTCTCACACAACAGTGAAGGATTATAGATCATTATAGCAGCGTCAAATACGAAGGTGCAAAACTACCACTCGAGAGGATTTCAGAGGTAAAAGGCGAGTTCCCAGGTAAAGATATATCCAAGTGTGTCCCCAGGGACATTAATGTGGAGAGTTTGACCAAAATACGCTTATTACTGACTACACATTCACGTGGATAAATTAATGGATGGATGAATGAATGAATGAAGGAATGGATGAAATGAATAAAAGATGAACAACGAAGCCAATTTTACAATGTGAGCGCCTACTCATTATCATTTCTAAATATAGTAATGTTCTGTTGACTTTGCATTAAATCTAAATCTACGCTGTGATCTAAATTTTAGATGGGCCTATTATAATTGTTTGCAATTCACTCAACAAAGAAACCAATTATCCTTTCAAAGACTCAATATCACCTCGTCTTATTTTGTCTAAGAAATTATCTGCTTGTAATATGCATGCTTTGTACGAAATCAGCCAGTGTCTTCCACTTTAAGTGGTAACAATCAGTTCGTGAAGTTACAAATGATTAACAATGCGACTGTTGTTATGTGTACACATTGATGAAATGGCGGATTGCGTCCATCTCACCTAACACATCTATGGCCGTCTGGCGTTGACAATAACATTGTTTTTATCCACAAATTTAAACTTGCTAGTATTTTTGCGTCAATTTGTAAAACAATAATAAAATAAGCCTTAAATTCAAAGTTGAGCCCTAACCATTTATTGCCTGTGGTTTCTAGTAATCTAGTAGTCAGTGAATTCCAGTAATCAGAAACTGCAATATTTCTTGTTTTCACTTCAGACTTTGGTAATTAGAATCTGCTGGGTGATGCTTTAAATGTTTTCTTTCATTGTCTTATCGAGGCTCCATCTTGAATATTATAAACATATGTTCTTGAGTAACGCGTTGAAGTGTTCAGTATGATAATAGTGCCACTGATTGCCGTAAAAGTAAGTTAATTTTCATCCATAGAGTGACATATTAATCCACTGTAAAACACATTCTAAGCTACTATCTGGGATATATGAAAATACACCAATGTCTTAAGCGCTGAGATATATGTTCAGTTCTGAGTAGATAGTAATACATATTTCGCAGCCATCTTTGAATCTAACGGGCCTAACTGCTTTTTGTCTAAATGAGAAAAGGTTATTCGAAGTGTAAGTTTGTCTTTCACATGTGCGCTTAAAAATAACTTTACGCGGAAAGCTCTTTCAATGACAGTTCTAGCAATAACTTCGCACACAGCAGTTTTTTTAAAAAAGGAATATATTTGTTGACTTTTGAGCAGTTCTACTTTTGATAATTGCTGCTTTCTCGATGTCGTTATCCCTGCAATCCCCTCTGTCTCCTCCAAATGGCAAACGACAGACCGGCATACTGTCGGAGCTAGAAAGAACAAAAACCATCTTGTATATGCATATTACAGTAGACGGACAAGTTACCAGGACCCCTCATTTTTTATCGTTCAATATTTACACTTAGTTTATCATACTAAATTAATTTCTACAAAAATGCATATGCTGAAGGGGAAATAACTCCAGAAATACTGCGATATGACAATTAAAATTATTATTTCGTGCATCGACCCCCTTTTGTTTAGTTCAAAGCACGGGGCATTCATTAATAAAAAATAATTCAAATTAAAAATTATAGCAAAACGATAAAGTTAGCTAGATTTTACACGAACTTGGCATTCATTTCATATATGAATGTTAAGATCATATTTAAAAAAGTGAAATTGGACTAGAATTCTTATTAGGGATACATCTAGTCACGCCAGATTTACTTACAATGTCTGTGTATTGTGAGAAGAGACGTCGGAACTCGGTCATGTCGAAGTTCCTGAGGGCAGCCCGAATTTGCCGAGACAAAGAATTCAACTGTCTTCGCAGAGATCGTAACTCTGAAACAAATGAATATCAAAACATGTGACTACTGCTGCATGGTACAGTACCGGTGTGAATCACTTCATGTACAAGCAACTTGTTGGTTTCATGTCCCAGTCTTAAACAGTCATCGATGTAGAAAAAAATTGTACCGCTACTAGAGAGAAAGCGTCACTTCCAGCAGGCATTGAACCATCACATTACATGTACAAATGAATAAAACTTTGAGTACAAGGGTCTATGATATATCTTAGTCCGATACGACTCACATATTTATGATTTACTTTTTAGTTTTTCCCAAAGGCTAGCATACGTGTTTTTTACATGTGTACTGTTGACTCTAGTTGCAGGCCCCAGGGATGTACAGTGACATGATTAAATCTAATTAGAACAATGTATCCATTTTACACTCAGAATAAAACGTTTGACTTCTTATTTATCACATACAACGTTCGAGTAAGGAGAAGACACTTTTTTAAATTCATCATAGGCAACATGTTTCATAAAGCTAATCGAGTGGTATACACGAACCCCTAGAGAGACCATGTACATAGAGGAAGACGCCTGAACTCCGTATCTCGGTGTTCTCAATAAGAAGGTCATAAGAACAGCTCACCTTCTCTCATTTGCTCCAAAGTGGGCGTAGTAGTGACCGGTGCCTGAGTAGTGGTCGGTGCCTTTGTGGTGACAGGTGCCTGTGTAGTGGTTGGTGCCTTTGTGGTGACAGGTGGCTGTGTAGTGGTTGGTGCCTTTGTGGTGACAGGTGGCTGTGTAGAGACCGGTGCCTGAGTGGTGACAGGTGTCTGAGTGGTGACCGGTGCCTGGGTGGTGACAGGTGTTGTCGTCACTACTCTTGTGGTAGTCAGGTAAATGTAAACTGCAGCTGAGCTGTTAAGAGCAGGAGTGCCGCCGTCTGTTGCCACGACAGTCAGTGACAGTGTCGCGTTCTCAGCAATTTCATAAGCTGGCGCTAACAGAAAAAACTGACCGGTGCTAGAATTCAAGGAAACCAAATCACTGCTTGACGTAAGCGTATACGTGACGACGGCATTTTCCCCTTCATCCACGTCGCTTGCCACTACGTGTCCTATCACGCCGGCTATGGTATCCGTATCCACGGTGAAGTTGTAGATGTCTACTGAAAAGACGGGTCTGTTGTCATTCACATCTTCCACTGTCACATACAGGGGGGAAGTGACACTCAGCGTTGAGGACTGACGCCCGGCTGTGTCATCTTCAGTTGCTTTCAGAACCAACGTGTAACTGCTTTCAGTTTCGCGGTCCACGCTGGTGTTAAGACTTACGCGACCTGGGGTATATAACATTGCAATTAACAGAACTTTATCTACGTCATTAATTATTCGTCTTTGTCAATTGCGCTTTCTTTTACATGTATTTACAGGAATCAAAATTTAAATCCCAATTATTTGGTAGTATACGTGTGCGTAAAATTTTCCCCGTCCCTCTCATTCGTCTGTAAATAATATTCCCGTTTCATCAAGCTATGTGTTACTGTAATTGTGTTAATAGCATGTGATCTGTCTTTGGTTAAGGAGTTACAAATAGACACACATCTGTGACACTCTGCAAAACTATCAGCAACAATCTAAAGCTGGCTCCATCTAAAGCAAGGCGACGTGCTTCACATTATAGACATGGTTAAAATATAAAATACACCTTAACACCCCAAAAGAAAAACAAAAGCCATGCGTTTACTGACCTGTGTTGTCTATCTGAAATGTTCCTCCAGTGTTGCCGTTTTCAATGGAATACACGATGGCGCCACCGTCTGGGTCTGAGGCACTCACCTGGTAGACGAAGGTACCGGGATCTGCAGACTCTGGCAACTGCAGGGAACAACAAACCGTAAATGTTACATGTAAAAGGAATATACAGCCAGTTAAAATTAACAAAGAAAATAATCAAAATGTCATTCTTTAAACTTTTGTTACTCCTTGTTTTAAAAGATAAACTTTTGTTGTAATTTCGAGACTCGCAAATTGTTTACAAGAATATAAACCAATTTAAACCATGTGCTTTATTACCTGTACATAGAAACAAGTAATAATATTAACCGGCACACATTAAATCAAACAACACAAATATTCAGATACTCACCGAGGTTGTGTAGTTCACCTGGCTGAAGACGGGAGGGCGGTTCTTCCCTATTACAGTGACCGTGACTGTGGCCGAGCCGTTTAATGGCGGGATACCGCTATCAGTGGCCACCACGTGGAGAGTCTCCACTCTTGTACCGAAGACATCACGTGCAGCCGGCAGAACGCTGAGAGCACCCGAGGAAGCGTCGATCTCTAGGATATCACTCGGGGACTGAAGACTGTATGCCACCTCTGCGTTGATGCCCTCGTCGTCATCGGTGGCTATAACAGTTAAAATAACCTGGCCATCTTGCACAAGGTCGGCGATGACAACTGTTATGTTGTAGGTATTATGTGAAAATGTTGGTGCGTTGTCATTGATATCCAAAACTTCGATCGTAATATCGACAGACGTGCTCCTTGGAGGAGACCCTATGAATAAGAACAAACGCATTTCATTCGACTTTTATATAAGTAGTCGGCAAGTCGTGCAGCTTGTAATAGATAATAAATTTATTGCGTAGTCTCTATGACCCTTTTGCTTTTTTAATAACCAAATATTTAAACTGTTAAATATTTCAGCAGACAGACGTATCAATGAATTCTGTCCAGAAAACACTGGTTACTGTTTTTTTCCATTTTTGTACAGAAATCAGTTTCGACAATTAAAACGTCAGCGATACACGTTCAAAACATCGTATCCTACTACGCTTACGTACGAATGTACAGTGTACGCATACGCTAATTTACCGTCGTCAGTTGCCTGTACAGCAATATTGTACGTCGCCGTGTCCTCCCTGTCCAAAGTGCCCCTAGTGAGGATCCGGCCGTCCTCAGTTACAGTGAACATCTCAGTAGCCGACTGGATTAAGGACAGATGGACATCTTGGTAGGTGTCGCCATCTGACCAGGTGAACTAAAACCAAAAGACGATTTTAGATGCGCAGATATTGATACTCGACTTGTGACTAAATGAACGTACAATTTACAATTTCTCTAAATGTTAAAAATTTATATATTAGTGAGAGAACATACATCAGCACTTTTGTAAAAAAACTCTTCTCTTGACATCAAAGAATATAAATATTTCCTCCTCATCATCATCCATACAGATTAAATCGTCTTCAGAGGAAATTTAAATATAAATTTGAGTGCTGCAGAGAAAGAAGGCACGAAAACCTTTCTCATTACCTTTTATACAACTTTTTAAACAGGCTCCCTTATAAAGATTGTGTTAGATGATCTACCTGAGTGACAAAAGTTCCGGCTGGTTGACCTTCATATACAGACAGGTGCGTGGAGTTGACCTCCAGGTGAGGGTCATACTCATTGACGTCACCAACTGTGATCACCACAGAGACAGTTGATGACAGAACATTCTGTCCACCGATTCCACCATCTCTAGCAATCACTGTCAGGTTGTACACGGACACACTCTCCTTGTCAAGGCTTGTTAGTAACGTGATGTCACCTGGGCAACAGGAAAATTAAAAAAGGATTAAAATAAGCAATATAGGCCTATATATAATTTGTGTAAAGGATGAAAATGAAATGATATAGTTTCTATTAAAAAGACGAGCAATTTGAGTTTCTTAAGAAATACCAGATACGAAATCAGGTTTTTTTTTATAAACGTTCATGTATATTTATGTATGTATCTATGTAGTAGGTATATTTGCTGACATGCACTCAAAGTAAATCGTGTATACCTACCAGACACCGGATTCAAGTAGAAAACGTTGCCAACACCCGGATTTGTTATTTCAAATGTGACTACACTGCTGTCATTATCCTCTGCTTTCACAGTAATGATAACTTCATTGGTCGGGGTGTCCTCAGGTACCTATATCGTGGGAGTGATATACCAGCAGTTATTACATGATATGATAATATTGTTTTTTTTTAATTAAACGGTGCGACATGTACATGATAATGCGTATTTAATATATATGAAGTTATGAAATCAACTGTCACAAAGAAGCATATATATATTTTTTTTGCGGGAAACCGTGCATGTATTTACCCATTCACGGTCAAACATCACTTTTTAATACTGTTAGTGATACCTGAATAAAAACAGCTTGCTTCTGATGGAGGGTTACCTCTTAAGTTGTCTTATGATTTAAGAGATGAAATATACTTACTGCTTATAGTATTTACTTTACTACACACTTGATTTTTATTTCAAGTTGGCTTTTGTAGATGACAAAAAGGGTAATGCGACAAACATCATGGGAATATCCGATATACGATAAAGGGGAGGGGGATTCACTTTTGACCCAACCCCGCTGCGAAGAAAGGCACTTCAAAATAAATTCTACAGTATGAAGCACGTAAAACAGGCCAAAGTGGGTCTCAATGTATTTGTTCTTCCTTTTTAGGCAGAAAGAAAGACTTTAATCCAGTAGACTTTGGTCTATTAGGAGGGGTACGTACGACGACTTTCATTACGCTCATGTACATGCATAGCTAATTTTAATAAAAGACACACAATGACGCACTGTACCTCTATTCCATAGGATTGTTCGCTAAAGACTGGTGGATAGACGTTAGATGTCGCCACTTGCACAGTAAGACTCGTCGACGCGTTGTAGACTCCGTCAGATATCCACACATTGACACTGTAAGGACCGTCTAGGAGGTCCAGAGGTCTTAATACGCGAATAACTCCACTTTCGGAATTGATTCCAAACAAGCCGCCGACGTCACTCGTGATTGCATAGCGAATTGTCCCTAAGGAAATGATTACATTCATAATGTAGACAGGTTTTTGACATTATAGAAGAAGAAAAGTAATAACTTACATTGTATATTGCATAGTGCAGTGTTTATTAGTAAAATGATTGTGGGCGAATTGATGCGCAGCTGTTACAAATTTGCGGATACAATAAGAAACATTTATACATTTGGGTCTACAATCCATTATGAATATAAATAAGTCAAGAAAACCTTTGGATTGTCTGTGAAGAGAATTGATTGTTAAAATCCAGAACAAAAAGTAGCCAATTACCTGTTGAATCGACATCGTAGGCATTCACAGCGTATATCTCCCTATTCACTGGAGTGTCCGCGGAGAGCAGAATGGGGCTAGTTTCTGGGTCTATCATTGGTGGGTTATCGTTGACGTCACCAACCGTCACCTCCACTTTGACGGAACCAGAGCGCCGCGGCGTTCCAGCGTCTACGGCGACAATTGTTATGTTATACAAGGCCTTTGTTTCTCTGTCTAATGGACCGGTAGTCCTGAGAACGGCGGTGCTCTCTTCCAGTGTAACGTTAAACGACAAAGTGGCGCCGTACAAGATAAAATAGAGAAGTTGTCCATTGTCGCCCGAGTCGATATCGGTTACGCTCGTGCGAAGGACTGCTGTACCGCTCGGCGCGTTTTCTAACACAGTGATGGAATACTCGCTCTTTTCAAAAACTGGAGGGTTGTCATTGACATCAATTAAGAACACGGATACAATGGCCTCGGCGGATTTGGNGAGACCGGTGCCTGAGTGGTGACAGGTGTCTGAGTGGTGACCGGTGCCTGGGTGGTGACAGGTGTTGTCGTCACTACTCTTGTGGTAGTCAGGTAAATGTAAACTGCAGCTGAGCTGTTAAGAGCAGGAGTGCCGCCGTCTGTTGCCACGACAGTCAGTGACAGTGTCGTGTTCTCAGTAATTTCATAAGCTGGCGCTAACAGAAAAAACTGACCGGTGCTAGAATTCAAGGAAACCAAATCACTGCTTGACGTAAGCGTATACGTGACGACGGCATTTTCTCCTTCATCCACGTCGCTTGCCACTACGTGTCCTATCACTCCGGCTATGGTATCCGTATCCACAGTGAAGTTGTAGACGTCTACGGTGAAGACGGGTCTGTTGTCATTCACATCTTCCACTGTGACATACAGGTTGGAAGTGGCACTCAGCGGTGAGGACTGACGCCCGGCTGTGTCATCTTCAGTTGCTTTCAGAACCAACGTGTAACTGCTTTCAGTTTCGCGGTCCACGCTGGTGTTAAGACTTACGCGACCTGGGGTATATAACATTGCAATTAACAGAACTTTATCTACGTCATTAATTATTCGTCTTTGTCAATTTCGCTTTCTTTTACATGTATTTACAGGAATCAAAATTTAAATCCCAATTATTTAGTAGTATATGTGTGCGTAAAATTTCCCCCGTCCCTCTCATTCGTCTGTAAATAATATTCCCGTTTCATCAAGCTATGTGTTACTGTAATTGTGTTAATAGCATGTGATCTGTCTTCGGTTAAGGAGTGACAAATAGAAACACATCTGTGACACTCAGCAAAACTATCAGCAACAATCTAAAGCTGGCTCCATCTAAAGCAAGGCGACGTGCTTCACATTATAGACATGGTTAAAATATAAAATACACCTTAACACCCCAAAAGAAAAACAAAAGCCATGCGTTTACTGACCTGTGTTGTCTATCTGAAATCTCCCTCCAGTGTTGCCGTTTTCAATGGAATACACGATGGCGCCACCGTCTGGGTCAGAGGCACTCACCTGGTAGACGAATGTACCGGGGACTGCAGACTCTGGCAACTGCAGGGAACAACAAACCGTAAATGTTACGTGTAAAAAGGAATATACTGCCAGTTAAAATACACAAAGAAAAAAAAAAAAAAAACAAATGTCTTTCTTTGAACTTTTGTTACTCCTTATTTTTAAAGATAAATTTTTGTTGTAATTTCCAGACTCGCAAATTGTTTACTAGAATGTCAATATAAATCATGTGCTTTATTACCTGTACATACAAACAAGTAATAATATTAACCGGCACACATTAAATCACACAACACAAATATTCAGATACTCACCGAGGTTGTGTAGTTCACCTGGCTGAAGACGGGAGGGCGGTTCTTCCCTATCACAGTAACCGTGACAGTGGCAGAGCCGTTTAATGGCGGGATACCTCTATCAGTGGCCACCACGTGGAGAGTCTCCACCCGTGTACCGAAGACATCACGTGCTGCCGGCAGGACGCTGAGTGCACCCGACGAGGCGTCGATCTCTAGAATATCATTCGGGGACAGAAGACTGTATGCCACCTCAGCGTTGATGCCATCGTCGTCATCGGTGGCTCGAACAGTTAAAATAACCTGGTCATCTTGCACAAGGTCGGCAATGACAACTGTTACGTTGTAGGAATTATGTGAAAATGTTGGTGCATTGTCGTTGATATCCAGCACGTTGATCGTTATATCGACCGACGTCCTTCTTGGAGGAGACCCTTTGAATAAGAACAAACTCGTTTTATTCGATTTTTATATAAGTAGTCAGTAAGTCACTAGGTTATGACACATGTAATGAAATATTGCATAGTCGCTAACCCTCTTTGTTTTGTTTTAACAACCAAACAGCTAGTGTCATAATGAAATTGTTACATATAGACTAATATTTCAGCAGACAGACGTTTCAATGAATTCTGTCCAGAAAGCATTTTCTACTGGTGCTTTCCATTTTTGTACAGAAATCAATTTCGACAATTGAAACGTCAGCGATACACGTTCAAAACATCGTATTCTACTAAGCGTATGTACGAATGTACAGTGTACGCATGCGCTAATTTACCGTCGTCAGTTGCCTGTACAGCAATATTGTACGTCGCCGTGTCCTCCCTGTCTAAAGTACCCGTAGTGAGGATCTGGCCGTCCTCAGTTACAGTGAACATCTCAGTAGCCGACTGGATTAAGGACAGATGGACATCTTGGTAGGTGTCGCCATCTGACGAGGATAACTAAAACCAAAAAGACTTTACTTCCATTTGTTTCTTAATTTTAAACATTCTTATTGTTTAGTTTCTTTTAAAGTTAATATTTTTATCTATTAGTCAGAGAACATACATCAGTGTTTCTCTAAAAATCTCTTCTGTTGATATCAAGGAATATAAATATTTCCTCCTCCTCATCATCCATACAGATTAAATCGTCTTCAGAGAAAATATAAATTTGAGTGCTGCAGAGAAAGAAGGCACGAAAACCTTTTACATACTTTTAATCCAACTTTTTAAACAGGCTCCCTTATAAAGATTGTGTTAGATGATCTACCTGAGTGACAAAAGTTCCGGCTGGTTGACCTTCATATACAGACAGGTGCGTGAAGTTGACCTCCAGCTGAGGGTCATACTCATTGACGTCACCAACTGTGATCACCACAGAGGCAATTGATGACAGAACATTCTGTCCACCGATTCCACCATCTCTAGCAATCACTGTCAGGTTGTACACGGACACACTCTCCTTGTCAAGGCTTGCTAGTAACGTGATGTCACCTGGGCAACAGGAAAATTAAAAAAGGATTAAAATAAGCAATACAGACCTATATATAATTTGTGTAAAGGATGAAAATGAAATGATATAGTTTCTATTAAAAAGACGAGCAATTTGAGTTTCTTAAGAAATACCAGATACGAAATCAGGTTTTTTTTGATAAACGTTCATGTATATTTATGTATGTATCTATGTAGTAGGTATATTTGCTGACATGCACTCAAAGTAAATAGTGTATACCTACCAGACACCGGATTCAAGTAGAAAACGTTGCCAACATCCGGGTTAGTTATTTCGAATGTGACTACACTGCTGTCATTATCCTCTGCTTTCACAGTAATGATAACTTCATTGGTCGGAGTATCCTCAGGTACCTATATCGTGGGAGTGGTATACCAGCAGTTATTACATGATATGATAATATTGTGTGTTTTTTAATTAAACGGTGCGACATACACATGATAATGCGTATGTAATATATATGAAGTTATGAAATCAACTGTCACAAAGAAGCATATATATATTTTTCTGCGGGAAACCGTGCATGTATTAACCCATTCACGGCCAAACGTCACTTTTTAATACTGTTAGTGATACCTGAATAAAACCAGCTTGCTCTTGATGGAGGGTTACCTCTTAAGGTGTCTTATGATTTAAGAGATGAAATATACTTACTGCTTATAGTATTTACTTTACTACACACTTGATTTTTATTTCAAGTTGGCTTTTGTATATGACAAAAAGGGTAATGCGACAAACATCATGGGAATATCCGATATACGATAAAGGGGAGGGGCATTCACTTTTGACCCAACTCCGCTGCGAAGAAAGGCATTTCAAAAGTGACGCAATGCGGGAAATTCTACAGTATGAAGGACGTAAAACGTCCGCAATAAAAGATACGCAATGCTGTAGGCCTACCTCTATTCCATAGCCTTGTTCGCTGAAGACTGGTGGATAAAAGTTAGATGTCGCCACTTGCACAGTTAGACTCGTTGACGCGTTGTAGACTCCGTCTGATACCCACACAATGACACTGTGAGGACCGTCTAGGAGGTCCAGAGGTCTTAATACGCGAATAACTCCACTTTCGGAATTGATTCCAAACAAGCCGCCGACGTCACTCGTGATTGCATAGCGAATTGTCCCTAAGGAAATGATTACATTCATAATGTAGACAAGGTTTTTGACATTATAGAAGAAGAAAAGTAATAACTTACATTGTATATTGCATAGTGCAGTGTTTATTAGTAAAATGATTGTGGGCGAATTGATGCGCAGCTGTTACAAATTTGCGGATACAATAAGAAACATTTATACATTTGGGTCTACAATCCATTATGAATATAAATAAGTCAAGAAAACCTTTGGATTGTCTGTGAAGAGAAATGATTGTTAAAATCCAGAACAAAAAGTAGCCAATTACCTGTTGAATCGACATCGTAGGCATTCACAGCGTATATCTCCCTATTCACTGGAGTGTCCGCGGAGAGCAGAATGGGGCTAGTTTCTGGGGCTATCATTGGTGGGTTATCGTTGACGTCACCAACCGTCACCTCCACTTTGACGGAACCAGAGCGCCGCGGCGTTCCAGCGTCTACGGCGACAATTGTTATGTTATACAAGGCCTTTGTTTCTCTGTCTAATGGACCGGTAGTCCTGAGAACGGCGGTGCTCTCTTCCAGTGTAACATTAAACGACAAAGTGGCTCCGTACAAGATAAAATAGAGAAGTTGTCCATTGTCGCCCGAGTCGATATCGGTTACGCTCGTGCGAAGGACTGCTGTACCGCTCGGCGCGTTTTCTAACACAGTGATGGAATACTCGCTCTTTTCAAAAACTGGAGGGTTGTCATTGACATCAATTAAGACCACGGATACAATGGCCTCGGCGGATTTGAAACCTGTTGGTGGACTGCCATTGTCTTCTGCAATAACTGTAAATTGATAGGAATTGACGCGTTCAAAGTCCAGTACCTCCGTGGTCCTGATGGCACCAGTTGTTCTATTGACACGAAAAGGAACGCTCTGACTGGGGTCAAGCGAGTAATGTATCGTCTGCCAGGTGTCAATGTCAGTTGCCGCAACATTCCCGACCTCAGTTCCAGAACTTTCTTCCTCCGCTACGGAGAAATTAAAGCGATCAGAATTAAAAGTGGGTGCGTGTCTATTCACAGGTACCACCTCAACAGTGACTTCTGCAGTTTCTACAACTCGATTTGGAGGGTCTCCTTTGTCAACCGCGTAGCACTGGAAGACATAAGGAGACGACGAGGTGCTTAGAGCAGATGCAGTGTAAATTATTCCAGTTTCGGCACCGACTTGGAAATGGCCATCTGGATTAACGATTCCATATGTGACTTCCCCGTTTGCTCCAACGTCCAAATCCGACGCAGTTAACTGCAAAACGGACGAATTCACCGGAGCGTCTGTCTCTATTGCAGCTGAAAAACGCAGTGGTGTAAACACAGGCGCATTGTCATTGACGTCAAGTACGTGGACATCAATAAGCAGCTGTCCAGTCTTTGGTTGGTCACCGTCATCCACTGCCACAACTGTTAAGGTTATAAGCTCAGTGCTCTCTCTGTCCAGCGCTGATGATATGGTTATTTCACCTGTCTCAGCGTTAACATTAAAGTTAGAAGCGTTGGCACCCACAACAG